GGCCTCCCCAGGCCAGAGCTCCTCCTGCCTTTCGGCAACTCCGCCGGGCCCCGCTCCTGTCTCCCAGTGGCCTCGTTAGGCCCGTCTCATTCGTCACCGGGAACGGCCTTTCCAGGCCCAGCCTGTGCCTTTCGGCGGCCTCTCCAGGCCCCGAACTTCCTCAGGCCGGCCTCTCCATGCCCAGTTGCGTCCTCCCGACCTCCCGTCCGGTCCCCGCTCCTCCTGCTCCCGTACGCGGCCGCGGGCCCAGCCCCGGCCTCACGACAACGTCTTTGTACTCGGCTCCGGCCCAGCTCCTGCTCTGCGGCCTTTGTAGGACCCAAACGTCCTGAAGCCGGGCCCCACGGTGGCCTCTCCGGGCCCGGCTCCTGCCCTCCGATGGCGTCTCCACGCCCCAGTTTTCCTCCAGCCAGCCACCCGAGGCCCAGCTCCTCCTCCCGGCGGCCTTTGCAGGCCCACGCTGGCCTCGAGTCGGCCTCTCCAGGGCTCGCTCCTGCTCCCGGCGGCACCTACGGGCCAAACTCGTGGCCCAGTCGGCCTCCGCCAGCCCACCTCCTGCCTCTCCACGGCCTCTCCAGCTGCCAGACTTCCTCAGGTCAGCCTCTCCAGGCCCAGCTCCTCCTGCCTGCCACTGGCCTCTTGAGGACCAGCCCCGCTCACGCCTCTGGGCGGCCTTCTCAGGCCCAGGACTTGACCTCCAGTCGGCCCAGACAGGCTCAGCCTCCTGCCTCCCGAAGGCCTGCACAGGCCCAGCCTCTGCCTCCCAGCAGAGTCTCCACGCCCAGCCCTCTCCTGACTGCGGCCTCCGCAGGCCAGAGCTCCTCCTCCCTTTGGGCAGCTGCGCCGGGACCCGCTCCTGCCTCGCAGTGGCCTCACTAGGCCCCGCTCATTCGTCACGGGGAACGGCCTTTCCGGGCCCAGTCTTTGCCTTTTTGCGGCCTCTCCAGGCCCCGAACTTCCTCAGGCCGGCATCTCCATGCCCAGTTGCAGCCTCCCGGCCTCCCGTCCGGGCCTAGCTCCTCCTGCTCCCGGCTGCGGCCGCGGGCCCAGCCCCGGCCTGACGACAACCTTTCGGCTCGGCTCCGTCCCAGCTCCCGCTTCGCGGCCTTTGTAGGCCCAAAACGTCCTGAAGCCGGGTCCCAGGGTGGCCTCTCCGGGCCCGGCTCCTGCCCTCCGACGGCGTCTCCACGCCCCAGACTTCCTCCAGCCAGCCTCTCCAGGCCCACCTCCTCCTCCCGGCGGCCTCTGCAGGCCCACGCTGGCCTCGAGTCGGCCTCTCCAGGGTTCGCTCCTGCTCCCGGCGCCCCCTGCGGGCCCAACTCGTCGCCCAGTCGGCCTCCGCCAGCCCAGCTCCTGCCTCTCCACGGCCTTTTCAGCTGCCAGACTTCCTCAGGTCAGCCTCTCCAGGCCCCGTTCCTCCTGCCTGCCACTGGCCTCTTGAGGCCCAGCCCCGCTCACGCCTTGGGCAGCCTCCTCAGGCCTAGAATTTGACCTCCAGTCGGCCTCGCCAGGCCCAGCCTCCTGCCTCCCGAGGGCCTGCACAGGCCCAGCCTCTCACTCCCAGGGGACTCTCCACACCCAGCTCTCGCCTGACTACGGCCTCCCCAGGCCACAGCTCCTCCTGTCTTTGGTCAGCTGCGCCGGACCCCACTCCTGCCTGACAGTGGCCTCACTAGGCCCTGCTCATTCGTCACGGGGAACGGCCTTTCCGGGCCCAGCCTTTGCCTTTTGGCGGCCTTTCCAGGCCCCGAACTTCCTCAGGCCGGCCTCTCCAGGCCCAGTAGCGGCCTCCCTGCCTCCCGTCCGGGCCCAGCTCCTCCTGCTCCCGGCTGCGGCCGCGTGCCCAGCCCCGGCCTGACGACAACCTTTCGGCTCGACTCCGGGCCAGCTCCCGCTTCACGACCTTTGTAGGCCCGAAACGTCCTGAAGCCGGGCCCCACGGTGGCCTCTCCGGGCCCGGCTGCTGCCCTCCGACGGCATCTCCACGCCCCAGACTTCCTCCAGCCAGCCTCTCCAGGCCGAGCTCCTCCTCCCGGCAGCCTCTGCAGGCCCACGCTGGCCTCGAATCGGCCTCTCCAGGGCTCGCTCCTGCTCCCGGCGGCCCCTGCGGGCCCAACTTGTCGCCCAGTCGGCCTCCGCCGGCCCAGCTCCTGCCTCTTCGCGGCCTCTCCAGCTGCCAGACTTCCTGAGGTCAGCCTCTCCAGGCCCAGCTTCCTCCTGCTTGCCACTGGCCTCTTGAGGCCCAGCCCCGCTCCCCAGGCCAGAGCTCCTCCTGGCAGCTCCGCCGTGCCCCGATCCTTCCTCCCAGTGGCCTCGTTAGGCCCGGCTCATTCGTCACGGGGAACGGCCTTTCCAGGCCCAGCCTGTGCCTTTTGGCGGCCTCTCCAGGCCCCGAACTTCCTCAGGCTGTCCCCTGCAGGCCCCGTTGCAGCCTCCCAGCCTCCCGTCCAGGCCCAGCTCCTCCTGCTCCCGGCTGCGGCCGCGGGTCCAGCACCGACCTCACGACAACCTCTTTGGACTCGGCTCCGGCCATGCTCCCGCTCCGCGGCCTTAGTAGGCCCCAAACGTCCTGAAGCCGGGCCCCACGGTGGCCTCTCCGGGCCCGGCTCCTGCCCTCCGACAGCGTCTCCACGCCCCAGACTTCCTCCAACCAGCCTCTCCAGGCCCAGCTCCTCCTGCCGGCGGCCTCTGCAGTCCCACGCAGGCCTCGATTCTCGGCCTCTCCAGGGCTCGATCCAGCTGCCGGCGGCCCCTGCGGTCCCAACTCGTCGCCCAGTCGGCCTCCGCCGGCCCAGCTCCTGCCTCTCCGCGGCCTCCCCAGCTGCCAGACTTCCTCAGGTCAGCCTCTCCAGGCCCAGCTCCTCCTGCCTGCCACTGGCCTCTTGAGGCCCAGGCCCGCTCATGCCTCTGGTTGGCCTCCTCAGGCCCAGGACTTGACCTCCAGTCGGAGTCGCCAGGCCCAGCCTCCTGCCTCCCGAAGGCCTGCACAGGCCCAGCCTCTGCCTCCCAGCAGACTCTCCACGCCCAGCTCTCGCCTGACTCTGGCCTCCCTAGGCCAGAGCTCCTCCTGCCTTTCGGCAGCTCCGCCGTGCCCCGATAGTGCCTCCCAGTGGCCTCGTTAGGCCCGACTCATCCGTCACGGGGAACGGCCTTTCCAGGCCCAGCCTGTGCCTTTTGGTGGCCTCTCCAGACCCCGAACTTCCTCAGGCAGGGCCCTCCAGGCCCAGTTGCGGCCTTCCGGCCTCCCGTCCAGTCCCAGCTCCTCCTGCTCCCGGCTGAGGCCACGGGCCCCGCCCCGGCCTCACGACAACCTCTTTGGACTCAGCTCCGGTCCAGCTCCCGCTCCGCGGCCTTTGGAGGCCCCAAACGTCCTGAAGCCGGGCCCCACGGTGGCCTCTCCGGGCCCGGCTCCTGCCCTCCGACGGCGTCTCCACGCCCCAGACTTCCTCCAGCCAGCCTCTCCAGGCCCAGCTCCTCCTGCCAGCGTGCTCTGCAGTCCCACGCTGGCCTCCAGTCTCGTCCTCTCCAGGGCTCGCTCCTGCTGCCGGCGGCCCCTGCGGGCCCAACTCGTCGCCCAGTCGGCCTCCGCCGGCCCAGCTCCTGCCTCCCGAAGGCCTGCACAGGCCCAGCCTCTACTTCCCAGCGGACTCTCCACGCCCAGCTCACGCCTGACTGCGGCCTCCCCAGGCCAGAGCTCCTCCTGCCTTTCGGCAGCTCCGCCGAGCCCCGCTCCTGCCTTCCAGTGGCCTCGTTAGGCCCGGCTCATTCGTCACGGGGAACGGCCTTTCCAGGCCCAGCCTGTGCCTTTTGGCGGCCTCTCCAGGCCCCGAACTTCCTCAGGCCGGCCCCTCCAAGCCCAGTTGCGGCCTCCGCGCCTCCCGTCCAGGCCCAGCTTCTCCTGCTCCCGGCTGCGGCAGCGGGCCAAGCTCCGTCCTCACGAGAACATCTTTGGATACGGCTCTGGCCCCGCTCCCGCTCTGCGGCCTTTGTAGGCCTCAAACGTCCTGAAGCCGGGCCTCACGGTGGCCTCTCCGGACCCGGACCCTGCCCTCCGACGGAGTCTCCACGCCCCAGACTTCCTCCAGCCAGCCTCTCCAGGCCCACCTCCTCCTGCCGGCGGCCACTGCAGGCCGTCGCTGGCCTCGAATCTCGGCTTCTTCAGGGCTCGCTCCTGCTCCCGGCGGCCACTGCGGGCCCAACTCGTCGCCCAGTCGGCCTCCGCCGGCCCAGCAGCTGCCTCTCCGCGGCCTCCCCAGCTGCCAGACTTCCTCAGGTCAGCCTCTCCAGGCCCAGCTACTCCTGCCTGCCACTGGCCTCTTGAGGCCCAGCGTCGCTCACGCCTCTGGGCGGCCTCCTCAGGCCCAGGACTTGACCTCCAGTCGGCCTCGACAGGCCCAGCCTCCTGCCTCCCGAAGGCCTGCACAGGCCCAGCCTCTGCCTCCCAGCGGACTCTCCACGCCCAGCTCTCGCCTGACTGCGGTCTCTGCAGGCCAGAGCTCCTCCTGCCTTTCGGCAGCTCCTCCGGGCCCCGCTCCTGCCTCCCAGTGGCCTCCTTAGGCCCGGCTCCTTCGTCACCCCAGCTCCTCCTGCTCCCGGCTGCGGCCGCGGGCCCAGCCCCGGCCTCACGACAGCCTCTTTGGACTCGGCTCCGGCCCAGCTCCCGCTCCTGCCTCTCCGACGGCCTCCCCAGCTGCCAGGCTTCCTCAGGTCAGCCTCTCCAGGCCCAGCTCCTGCCTGCCGGCGGCCTCTTGAGGCCCACGCTGGCCTCGAGTCTCGCCCTCTCCAGGGCTCGCTCCTGCTCCCGGGAAGCCGGGCCCCACGGTGGCCTCTTTGGACTCGGCTCCTGCCCTCCGACGGCGTCTCCACGCCCCAGACTTCCTCCAGCCAGCCTCTCCAGGCCCAGCCTCCTGCCTGCCGGCGGCCTCTGCAGGCCCACGCTGGCCTCGAGTCTCGGCATCTCCAGGGCTCGCTCCTGCTCCCGGCGGCCCCTGCGGGCCCAACCCGTCGCCCAGTCGGCCTCCGCCGGCCCAGCCTCCTGCCTCTCCGCGGCCTCCCCAGCTGCCAGACTTCCTCAGGTCAGCCTCTCCAGGCCCAGCTCCTCCTGCCTGCCACTGGCCTCTTGAGGCCCATCCCGCTCACGCCTCTGGGCGGCCTTCTCAGGCCCAGGACTTGACCTCCTGACGGCCTCGCCAGTCCCAGCCTCCTGCCTCCCGAAGGCCTGCACAGTCCCAGCCTCTGCCTCCCAGCGGAATCTCCACGCCCAGCTCTCGCCTGAATGCGGCCTCCCCAGGCCACAGCTCCTCCTGCCTTTCGGCATCTCCGCCGGGCACCGCTCGTGCCTCCCAGTGGCCTCGTTAGGCCCGGCTCATTCGTCACGGGGAACGGCCTTTCCAGGCCCAGCCTGTGCCTTTTGGCGGCCTCTCCAGTCCCCCAACTTCCTCACTCCGGCCCCTCCAGGCCCAGTTGCGGCCTCCCGGCCTCCCGTCCAGGCCCAGCTCCTCCTGCCTGCCACTGGCCTCTTGAGGCCCAGCCCCGCTCACGCCTCTGGGCGGCCTCCTCAGGCCCAGGACTTGACCTCCAGTCGGCCTCGCCAGGCCCAGCCTCCTGCCTCCCGAAGGCCTGCACAGGCCCCCCAACTCATCGCCCAGTCGGTCTCCTTGGAGGCCCCAAACGTCCTGCCTTTGGAGGCCCCAAACGTCCTGAAGCCCCAGTTCTCGCCTGACTCTGTCCTTCCCAGGCCAGAGCTCCTCCTGCCTTTCGGCAGCTCCACCGGGCCCCGCTCCTGCCTTCCAGTGGCCTCGTAAGGCCCGGCTCATACGTCACGGGAAACGGCCTTTTCACTCCAGCCTGTGTCTTTCGGCGGCTTCTCCAGGCCCCGAACTTCCTCAGGCCGGCCCCTCCAGGCCCAGTTGCGGCCTCCCGGCCTCCCGTCCAGGCCCAGCTCCTCCTGCTCTCGGCCACGGCCGCGGGCCCAGCCCCGGCCTCACGACAACTTCTTTGGACTCGGCTCCGGCCCAGCTCCCGTTCCGCGGCCTTTGTAAGCCGAAAGCGTCCTAAAGCCGGGCACCACGGTGACCCCTCCGGGCCCGGCTCCTGCCCTCCGACGGCGTCTCCACGCCCCAGACTTCCTCCAGCCAGCCTCTCCAGGCCCAGCCTCTTTGGACTCGGCTCCGGCCCAGCTCCCGCTCCGCGGCCTTTGGAGGCCCCAAACGTCCTGAAGCCGGGCCCCACGGTGGGGCCTCTCCAGGCCCCGAACTTCCTCGGGCCGGCCCCTCCCGGCCTCCCAGTGGACTCTCCACGCCCAGCTCTGGCCTGACTGCGGCCTCCCCAGGCCGGCCTCCTCAGGCCCAGGACTTGACCTCCAGTCGGCCTCGCCAGGCCCAGCGCCAGGCCCAGCCTCCAGTCGGCCTCGCCAGGCCCAGCCTCCTGCCTCCCGAAGGCCTGCGCAGGCCCAGCCTCTGCCTCCCAGCGGACTCTCCACGCCCAGCTCTGGCCTGCCGGCGGCCTCCCCGTCGCCCAGTCGGCCTCCGCCGGCCCAGCTCCTGCCTCTCCGCTGCCTCTCCAACTGCCTGACTTCCTCAGGTGAGCCTCTCCAGGCCCAGCTCCTCCTGCCTGCCACTGGCCTCTTGAGGCCCAGCCCCACTCACGCCTCTGGGCGGCCTCCTCCGGCCCAGGACCTGACCTCCAGTCTGTCTGGCCAGGCTCAGCCTCCTGCCTCCCGAAGGCCTACACAGGCCCAGCCTCTGCCTCCCAGCGGACTCTCCACGCCCAGCTCTCTCCTGACTGCGGCCTCCCCTGGCCAGAGCTCCTCCTGCCTTTCGGCAGCTGCGCCGGGCCCCGCTCCTGCCTCCCAGTGGCCTCACTAGGCCCCGCTCATTCATCACGGGGAATGGCCTTTAGGGGCCAAGCCTTTGCCTTTTGGCGGCCTCTCCAGGCCCCGAACTTCCTCAGGCCGGCCTCTCCAGGCTCAGTTGCGGCCTCCCGGCCACCCGTCTGCGCCCAGCTCCTCCTGCTCCCGGCTGCGGCCGCGGGCCCAGCCCCGGCCTCACGACAACCTCTTTGGACTCGGGTAAGGCACAGCTTACGCTGCGCGGCCTTTTTAAGCCCCAATCGTCCTGAAGCCGGGCCCCTCGGTGTCGTTTCCGGGCCCGGCTCCTGCGCTTCGACAGCGTCTCCAGCTTCTCCTGCTCGCGGCTGCAGCCGCGGACCCAGCCCCGGCCTCACGAAAACCTCTTTGGAGTCAGATCCGGCCTAGCTCCTGCTCCGCGGCATTTGTAGGCGCCAAACGTCCTGAAGCCAGTCCCCACGGTGGCCTCTTCGGGCCCGGCTCCTGCCCTCCGACGGCGTCTCCACGACCCAGACTTCCTCCAGCCAGCCTCTCCAGGCCCAGCTCCTCCTCCCGGCGGCCTCTGCAGGCCCACGCTGGCCTCGAGTCGGCCTCTCCAGGGCGCTCTCTGGTCCCGGTGGCCCCTGCGGCCCCAACTCGTCCCCCAGTCGGCCTCCGCCGTCCCAGCTGCTGCCTCTCCGCGGCCTCTCCAGCTGCCAGACTTATTCAGGTCAGCCTCTCCAGGCCGAGCTCCTCCTGCCTGCCACTGGCCTCTTGAGGCCCAGCCCCGCTCACGCCTCTGGGCGGCCTCCTCAGGCCCAGGACTTGACCTCCAGTCGGCCTCGCCAGGCCCAGCCTCCTGCCTCCCGAAGGCCTGCACAGGCCCAGCCTCTACCTCCCAGCAGACTCTCCACGCCCACCTATCGCCTCAACGCTGCCTCCCCAGGCCAGAGCTCCTCCTGCCTTTCGGCAGCTCCGCCGGGCCCCGCTCCTGCCTCCCAGTGGCCTCGTTAGGCTCGACTCATCCGTCACGGGGAACGGCCTTTCCAGGCCCAGCCTGTGCCTTTTGGCGGCCTCTCCAGGCCCCGAAGTTCCTCAGGCCGGCCCCCTGAGGCCCAGTTGCGGCCTCCCGGCCTCCCGTCCAGGCCCAGCTCCTCCTGCTCCTGGCTGAGGCCGCGGGCCCAGCCCCGGCCTCACGACAGCCTCTTTGGACTCGGCTCCGGCCCAGCTCCCGCTCCGCGGCCTTAGTAGGCCCCAAACCTCCTGAAACCGGGCCCCACGGTGGCCTCTCCGGGCCCGGCTCCTGCCCTCCGACGGCGTCTCCACGCTCCAGACTTCCTCCAGCCAGCCTCTCCAGGCCCAGCTCCTCCTGCCGGCGGCCTCTGCAGGCCCACGCTGGCCTCGAGTCTCGGCCTCTCCAGGGCACGCTCCTGCTCCCAGGGGCCCTTTCGGGTCCAACTCGTCGCCCAGTCGGCCTCCGCCGGCCCAGCTCCTGCCTCTCCGCGGCCTCCCCACCTGCCAGACTTCCTCAGGTCAGCCTCTCGCGGCCCAGCTCCTCCTGCCTGCCACTGGCCTCTTGAGGCCCAGCGTCGCTCACGCCTCTGGGTGGCCTCCTTAGGCCCAGGACTTGACCTCCAGTCGGCCTCCCCAGGCCAGAGCCACTCCTGCTTTTCGGCAGCTCCGCCGGGCCCCGCTCCTGCCTCCCAGTGGCCTCATTTGGCCCGGCTCATTCGTCACGGGCAACGGCCTTTCCAGGCCCAGCCTCTGCCTTTTGGAGGCCTCTCCAGGCCACGAACTTCCTCAGTCCGGCCCCTCCAGTCCCAGTTGCGGCCTCCCGGCCTCCCGTCCAGGCCCAGCTCCTGCTGCTCCCGGCTGTGGCCTTGGGCCCAGCCCCGGCCCCACGACAACCTCTTTGGACTCGGCTCCGGCCCTGCTCCCGCTCCGCGGCCTTTGTAGACCCCAAACGTCCTGAAGCCGGGCCCCACGATGGCCTCTCCGGACCCGGCTGTTGCTCTCTGTCGGCGTCTCCACGCCCCAGAATTCCTCCAGCCAGCCTCGCCAGGCCCAGCTCCTCCTGCCGGCGGCCTCTGCAGGCCCACGCTGGCCTCGAGTCTCGGCTTCTCCAGGGCTCGCTCGTGCTCCCGGCGGCCCCTGCGGGCCCAATTCGTCGCCCAGTCGTCCTCCGCCGGCCCAGCTCCTGCCTCTCCGTGGCCTCTCCAGCTGCCAGACTTCCTCAGGTCAGCTTCTCCAGTCCCAGCTCCTCCTGCCTGCCACTGGCCTCTTGAGGCCCAGACCCGCTCACGCCTCTGGGCGACCTCCTCAGGACCAGGACTTGACCTCCAGTCGGCCTCGTCAGGCCCAGCCTCCTGCCTCCCGAAGGCCTGCACAGGCCCAACGTTTCCCTCCCAGCAGACTCTCCACGCCCAGCTCTCCTCCTGCCTTTCGGCAGCTCCGCCGGGCCCCGATCCTGCCTCCCAGTGGCCTCGTTAGGCCCGGCTCATTCGTCACGGGGAACGGCCTTTCCAGGCCCAGTCTTTGCCTTTTGGCGGCCTCTCCAGGCCCCGTACTTCCTCAGGCCGTCCCCTGCAGGCCCCGTTGCGGCCTCCCAGCCTACCGTCCAGGCCCAGCTCCTCCTGCTCCCGGCTGCGGCCGCGGGTCCAGCACCGGCCTCACGACAACCTCTTTGGACTCGGCTCCGGCCACAGCTCCCGCTCCGCGGCCTTTGGAGGCCCCAAACGTCCTGAAGCCAGGTTGACCTCCAGTCGGCCTCGCCAGGCTCAGCCTCCTGCCTCCCGAAGGCCTGCACAGGCCCAGCCTCTGCATCCCAGCGGACTCTCCACGCCCAGCTCTCGCCTGACTGCGGCCTCCCCGGGCCAGAGCTCCTCCTGCCTTTCGGCAGCTCCGCCGGGCCCCGCTCCTGCCTCCCAGTGGCCTCGTTAGGCCCGGCTCATTCGTCACGGGGAACGGCCTTTCCAGGCCCAGCCTGTGCCTTTTGGCGGCCTCTCCAGGCCCCGAACTTCCTCAGGCCGGCCCCTCCAGGCCCAGTTGCGGCCTCCCGGCCTCCCGTCCAGGCCCAGTTGCGGCCTCCCGGCCTCTCGTCCAGGCCCAGCTCCTCCTGCTCCCGGTTGCAGCCGCGGGCCCAGCCGCGGCCTCACGACAACCTCTTTAGACTCGGCTCCGGCCCAGCTCTCGCTCCGTTGCATTTGTAGGCACCCAACGTCCTGTATCCGGTCCCCACGGTGGCCTCTCCGGGACCGGCTCCTGCCCTCCGACGGCGTCTCCACGCCCCAGACATCCTCCAGACAGCCTCTCCAAGCCCAGCTCCTCATGCCGACGGCCTCTGCAGGCCCACGCTGGCCTCGAGTCTCGGCCTCTCCAGGGCTCGCTCCTGCTCCCGGCGGCCACTGCGGGCCCAACTCGTCGCCGAGTCGGCCTCCGCCGGCCCACCTCCTGCCTCTCCGTGGCCTCCCCAGCTGCCAGACTTCCTCAGGTCAGCCTCTCCAGGCCCAGCTCCTCCTGCCTGCCACTAGCCTCTTGAGGCCCAGCCCCGCTCACGCCTCTGGGCGGCCTCCTCAGGCCCAGGACTTGACCTCCAGTCGGCCTCGCCAGGCCCAGCCTCCTGCC